GTATTCAGACTACAGTACTCTAATTGGTCCATGTAACAGAATACGTTTAATACAGTTTAATGCAGATATTCAGTATTATGAAACTGAATACATTTTTAAAGTATTCTTCCCATCACTGATAATAAGTAACAAACCCCGAGTGATAGGAGATTCACTGTGAGGGTACTGTATGTGTTTGTTCAAGTGATACAGTGAGGATTCACAGCTGTGGTCATAAATATGCTAGTGTTTGCACAACTCAAAAGTGACTAAATCAGCCACTGTTTCCTTTGGGGGTGTAAGAAAATCATGATGACTATAACTTTTCCCCATAAATATCAGATCTATATTGAAATGTGTTTTCTCAAAGAAACCCAATAAATAATGTGTGCTGCTAAGAATATTATTTCTTATGGGTTTTTTGTGCAGAAAGTGTTAACTACAGACTACTCAAATTTATAAAAATGCTAAGAAAATACTATTAGTGATACACCTGAGTGGGCACAATAATTACTGTATCATTCAGTATATGTTACTGGAACAATTGTTTTTTATTTTTTCTTTGTTAGTATCAAGTGTAATATGACTCATTATAGAAAGAAATGAACTACTAAAGTGTTTCATTCTACTATTTATCTATTACAACTCATGTTTTTAGGATATTTTTTTGCTTCAGGTTTATGGTGTCAGTGGTCATTTTGATTCAATATTATTGTTTATCCTATATTTTCTACAGCAGTAAATCACATGTCAAATTTTCAGATAGTGACAGGCCTTATTATCTTGCATACCTAACCATGATGAGCCAAGGTTGTTTAGAAAAAAAAATTGAAATAAAAAAACAGCAAAAGATGCACTTTACACAGTAATTATCTTTGTGTGAACATTCCCCACCACTAAAGTCCTTACTTAAACTCTGAACAAACTGCTATAAACTGTGCATATTCAGCACTCAGAGTCCAGGTGGTGCTGCTCATACCCTCTCTCTCCTCGCTCCCGCACCGTACACATTGTATATACATATCAGTCTGCGTGTGAACCTGAGAGCTGCTTTAAGACAGGCTCAGACAAACAAAGCATCCGTCTCACTGGGCAGCCCCACTCCCTCACTCCAAACTGCCAGAGCTACTTAAAACCCCGGGCTTCATCCTGCTCCTTCAGAACAGCACTGGTCCCAGAGATGTGCCCTGCCAAGCGAGCAAGAAACGAAGTGAAGTAGTTATTGTGTTTCTTAAGGCAGTAAAGAGGAGCTCAGACTGTCATCAACCTAAATGAATGTAGACAAGAATTTAAAGGCAATAAAAACTAAGACACTCCATCTCAGCAGGTTTTATCAGCAGGAAAAGACTAATGAAGCTGTTATGACAAAGACATTTTGACCTTTAAATGTTGCTTCGTCTGAACAGTTGGGTGCAAGATAGAAAGTGTGAAGTAGTGAAGTAAACTCCCTAAAGCACTGTTTTGATTTTTCCCATCCTCACACTACCACAGCTGTCACTAGTGTTCTAATTCTGAATATATTAAAATATATTAGGCACTGTAATGATTACCTAGCATGAAATTACACTTTGCATTGACAATTAACTTTATACCTCTTTAAAATTATGGATACTGATCAACGCAAACCAGGAATTCAATAGTTCTGGAGCTGCTATCTGTACCAATCCCTTACTTGTTCATTATACCAACACATCGACTTGAGGACAAAATTTTCACTTTTCACTATGGGTTTACTTCATACATCATTTGAGTATTATTGTTCTCTTACTTAATTACTCTTAATACAGTTATAAATCTCAGGAGTCCAAACTCTTTATTTGTAATAATAATGAATTTGTTTTATATAAGATTTACAATTTTGTGCATTATTCATTCATGCCACACTCAGTTGTTTAACTTAGGCAATGTGGGTGAAGTGCATTGCCAAAGGACACAACAACAGTTTTTGCCACTGGCGCCCCACTGAGGTACCCAGATTTTCCCAGCGGATTCCAATCCAAGTACTAATCAGGCATAGCCTTGCTTTAAAGTTTGATGAGATCAGGCTTTGACAAAAAAGTGTGACCACAAACAAATTGATTTGAAATATAAAAATGTTTTTGTTTTGTTCAATATATGTAGAAAAAGTCAAATATCACATAGCCTTCTTAGCAGGGCCAAGGAAAGTGAGAAACCCTTTAATAAAGACTTAAATAAGTTATATTGTGTAATAAAAGCATTCAGGTGGTTGTTAAGTCAATGCTAAACAAGAACAAAATGAGGTAAAGCAAACAATGAGGTGAAAGAAACTCCACTGTGTACACTTGTTTAGTTAAAAAGCCTGAGGTTGCCTTGTTCTGCTGACAGGTTGACAAGTTACAATGTATTTGCTCCTCTATACAGTAAGTGCACTCATTTAGATACAGAATAGTGTGGAATGGAGGGTATTATAATCACAGGGGGGCAATAGTTTTGGTTTTCCATAGATAATGTGTCTTCATGCTTCCTTTCTTCTCCACTCTGCCTCAAAGTGCTCAGTGTCATTGGCGCCACAGCAGGGGTCCCTATCTATTGTGGGCTAAAAGCACTTGCTACAGCAAACATGCACTCCCCTCACTGCTGCTTTTACCCCAGGATGAGCTCAGAATATTGTATCAGTGCAGCAGCCTATGATGGAACAGGGGCCAGTGAAGGACAAATTCCAAACCAGACACAATGTAATATATAAAACAGCATTATCTATAACTCACAGGGCACCAGTTTACATGTACAAATGGAGGGTATAACGTCATTGATTTATTATTTTTCAGCGCATCTACAGTCTGAAGAAGGGTCTGCTACCTGTCGGCTTGTCTCCATGGAGATGTTAATGCTTTACCTGGAATGTTTCAAAGAATTAATTAAATATATGTATTTAGTATTTATTCAATCACACATGTTGTTGTTGCTCAAATCCAGAGGTGGGGACTTGCAAGTCAGACTTGAGTCACTATTTTTAGGACTTGAGATTTGACTTGATAAAATGGACTAAGACTTGGGACTTAATTTGGACTTGAAGGTCAGTGACTTGGGACTTGACTCGGACTTTAGGCCTGTACTTGAGAAAACTTGTGAAGCACTTTTAAATTTGAATTCTTTCTATTCTGACCATAATGATTCATCTTGTCAAGACATTTAAAAAGGACAAATGAATGAATGAATTTCTACAACTCTTACATACTCTATAAATACCCATATATAAATATACTATGATTTTTTAAGTACAATTTATCTTAAAATTCATATAAATTGCAAAAAACTAAGCTATATTTGGTACTTTGGTTTAAAGACTTGAAGCTCAAAGCAGATGACTTGGACTTGACTTGGACGTTATGGGCCAGTGACTCGAGACTCGACTTGGACTTGCCTGTATTTGACTTGGGACTTGATTCGGACATGAGGTCAAAGACTTGAGACTTATTTGAGACTTGCAAAACAATGACTTGGTCCCACCTTTGCTTTAATATACCTGCTTTCTTACTTAAAGCGATGTTGTCTTTCCACAGATCTGACTTGTGACTTATCCTCGTGGATCACCTTCTTGTCTCCATGAAGGTATATACGTTTAATAATGCCATATTTTGGAACATGCAGGCAGAGCAATCGCATCTCAATAGAGACAAGCAGGTGACAGACCCTCCAGTGGAAATTTTACATAGCGTATCTTTAATAATTTCCTCACACAGTATGCCATTACTAAAGAAAAAATTTTAAAATACAACTGGCCTAAGATAATTCCACTTAAAGTCAAAGAGCAAAACTTGATGATCTCACAACTTTCAGACAGAAAAGGTGCAGTGAATGATAACTGTGCCCAGACTCATTTTGGCATCACATTTAGCTGGTGCACAGTTAAGAACCTAATGATTTTGAGCAATAACAATGAAATTACTTCTGCATACTCTGGTTATGAGTTCCTGTATGTTGCAAACTCTAGCTCCAAACCTGCTCCGGGCTGTTCTTCTAGAGCAGGTACCACTGAGCGGTCCGTTTGACTGTCACCCAAAAAGCCCAGAGGCAAGACTTGGGGCTCACGTTGGCAACTAGCACAACAAGCATGTTTGTGTAAGTCAATATTTGTGCGATCACTTGTTGATCGCAAACAACTCAAAGCCTTGTAAACTTTAACTATAACCTATATTTCAGCTATGACGACACAGGACCATAAAGTGCTGGACCGTACAGATGAGTCACGTCAGCCTCAATGTAATCAGTAACTAGACCTGCAGAAACTACTCTACAAAAGCATTTTTACAGCTTTGCAATATCTAAGTTTGATTTCAAAATGTGTAATATTTTAGGTGAAGAAAAGAGGTAGAGGGCTTCACTGGGTCAAAAAAGAGTTAAAAAATAGAAGTACAGGTGCTTTACAAGGGTTGAAACAGTCATCTTCAAACAGAAAATTGCAAAATACGGGTAATTTTCATCATAAAACAACTTAACTTTGAGTTTAAATGTAGTCACATAGGCCTACCCCATTCACCTGTATCCAATGCAACACAGCTAATTTATAGTCTAAATATTAACTTACACTGTGGCTTATTTTTGCCTTTATAATGGGTTTTTCTGGGTCTGCCACCTACTTTTCTCGTTGAAAAGCAGGTATTGTATGAAACTGAGCATCTTTCTCCATGGAGATAAGCAGGTGACGCCAGAGAAGATCCTGCTCACAAAAAGATATTCAAGGTACTGTATTAAAACACCTGTTTACTGGGAAACATTACAGACAAAAGCAGCAATAACATCTTATCCGGAGGCGCGTCCACCTTTAATTGGTAGCTATAGCCCTAGTTTTATTGAGACTGGTAAATACAGGGGGGAAACACAAAGAAACACGTGGTTATTGGCAATCACCGGGCTTCAACTTTGAGCTTGTGAGACGGCCACCAAACAAACATTTACAGCTGCTGGACTGTCCAGACAACAAAAGCGCAGATAACATATTTCAACCCGTGATGCAATCAAGCCCCCAATCCAAGCAACACCACCCATACCACCCTCACCTTGAACTCCACTGACAGCTGTGGGGTGTACTCCAGAGTCCACAGCGCCCGCACCAGAGAGGCCAGCTGCTCAGTCACCTCTCCCCTCGCGTCCCGTGCGCTCCACTGGTCCTCCTCCGCGTCCACCCCCCCGTTCACCCTCCTCTGGCCCCCCACGTCCGTCTTGTACTGCTCGAGCCCCAGGTACTCCGCCAGCAGGTCGGTGTTGCTAAGGCACTGGACCACGGCGTTCATGAAGCAGGTGTTCCCGTGGTTCTTGAGCCCCTGCACGCCCGGGGTCTTGTCACCGTAGCACAGCGAGAGGCGCTCTTTGACTGAGCCCTGAGATGTTGAGGACGCGGCGGTGCTGCTTTTCTTCAGCGTATTGTTACATTCCCTGGAAGTAGTGTGTGAGTCCTTAAATCCCCCCGTCCCGCTTTGTCCGAATCCACCGTCGTCATCCTCACCTTCTTGCGTGTCAGCGTGATCGCCAAAGTGCGCTAAAGTGCCTAAAGTTTTAAGGACCCTACCCATAAAATTACCCAGCGAGCGCAGAGATTTCCTCCGTATAAATCTTCCAGTTTTTTGTTTATTCTCCTTGCGCTTGTTAGGCTTCATTGGCTGTTTTCTTCCCTTGTTTTCTTTTCGCGAATCCATGGTTTCACGTTGGTTTTATCGGATTGAGCGAAAACCAGAGAGACAGTGGAGTTGCACCTGTCCGCCAGACTGTCTAGCCCGCCTCCTCTTTCCTATTCTCCTCAGCTTTTCTCTCCATAACACTACCTACCCTACCTACTGCTGCGGGAATACTGACTCTATAAGGCACATAATATACCCTGTAAAATATTCAGAGATCCGCCTGGGTTTCGTTCAGATCTGTCCTCCTCTTCACTCGTTTAGATGCTGTTACAGTCTATAGCACTTCCTCATAGCTGGAATAGCGCGCTGAATGTGTGTGGTGAATTTCTGCCTCCCCGCGCTGCTCTGTCCCCTCCCTCCTCCCACGGAGCTCATGGCAATGTGGATACAACTAACAAGTTTGACCGCAAAACCCCCCACTGATCGACCTGGAGTACCTGGGTAGACAATTCAACCAAAGAGCAAACGTATAACCTTTATTTAAGTGCTCGTTTTAACCTTTTGTTGACCCCAAAAATGCCACCTAAATTGAACTCGAGGAAGCAGGCTTACCTGAAGTTTGTTAATGTGTCCCAGAAGCATAAAACTGCCCCCTATAGGACCAATTAAGCAATCACATGCCCATTGTAGTCCTAACAGTGTCATAAATTAGTATTAATTAGCTTCTTATTTTAGCTCAACAAATGCGTTTTTCCCCTGTCTTAATGTGACACTGGGGGTATGTTAAACTGTTACTGAACCAACTAAAGCAAATACAATCTCAAGAAATTAAAGAATTATCATATGAACTAGGCTAGATCTCTGAAAGGTTGTGTAACAATTTCAACACAGTAGAATTTGTTTCTTTAATTCTTCCTGCTTGCTGTTATAAACTGTCCTAAACAGTGGATGAGGATTAATTCTAACCCTACTATTGTTTCTGTAGTAGATGTGATATTTCTGAAAATAAAATCTAAACAAAAATGACCAAAGAAGATGTAAATGAAGATGAAGATTTGCGGATAAATGTTCATTCAATCATTCATTCAATGTTTGTCGACCAGTTATGTGAACTTCAGGGGTACACAAGACAAGCTTATAGAAGCTATGTGGAATGGTTTAAGACAGAGCTGTCCATACTTTCTCACTGAGGGCCGAATATTGAACCATATTTGAAACATAGACCGGTGTCGATACAGTGAGTCATTCACAATGGCCCATTTCCCTCAGCTTTGACAGAGCCCTTGTATCTTTAATAAGGCTTGGAACAGCAATCTTAGGTCTGTGTCACAATGCAATATGATGCTATTGAGGTAATAGTGGCACAAATACTTCAATTTGTAGTAAAAAGTTCTGCCTATGATCAATTGTTGTACAACATTTTAGTAAAAATGCCTTACACCCTCAAGAATTAAGTTAGTTAGTAGATAAATACTCCACAATGTCAGCCACACAGAGAAAGGGGCAAAGCATTCCATATGTTTTGGGGCCACAGCCTGAAAGAACAGGTCCCCCTGGTTTTTGGGACCACAAGCAAGGTCTGACTTGAGGAGTGGAGGGTTTTTGGAGGATTTTTGACACCACTATCATTAAGGAAATATTTGTACAAAAATAACCATGGTAAGGGATACTGACAATGTGGGGCAAAAAGAAAGAAAAACAGAACCAGAAAAACAAAACAAAAATAAAGAACACGGGCATGGTAACAAAGTACAGAGGGCAATGAGAAAACACAATATCAACACACCAGTGAAACCGTACAGAAAACACAGGCAATTACTCATCCACCCAAAAGATAAAACAGAACCAGAGCATAAATGTAATGTCATATATAAAATACCCTGCATGTCCTACAGTAAAACATACATCGGAAAAACAGGGAGGGCGTTCAGTACACAAAAAAAGGAATATTGCACAGAAGAAGGAAATAGCGAAGGGGTGCACCTGAGCAACAAAACACAAAGCAGAACAGGAACAACTCAAGTTGGCCATTTCTGACCACTGTAAGAGTCCACATTATGGACTGGGACTGAGCAAACATCACTGGGACAAAGGAAAACAATCATCGTCGCTGGATTAAAGAGGCAAACAAGATACGGAGATGTGCCCACAGGACCATAAACCGGAAAGAGGGGGCTTTTTTACTCTCACACACCTGGGATAGTGTTCTGAAGAAGTTGAACTGCAGATGGCGCGGTCATCCTGCCTCCACCAGTAGGAAGACAACGCCAAAACCTGTATAAATCAGCTGACAGGACACATCACAGCAACATCACATGACCACTCTGAGGAATATCGCTAGTGAGCAGCTGAAACGGTCAGATATGAAAACAAACTCGGTCTGAAAAAAAACAACCAAATAAGATGAATTAACAGAAGTCCAAATGAACCTCACTGGGCTTGTGTGGGACAAAGCTCAGGGCGTACTAGAGACAAAAAAGGATGGGAACCACTGATAGGGGACATTTCAGGTCACAGTTAAAATACTTGCTGCTGGAGTCCTACAACACAATGCAGTAGAGCAGCTAATCGTGCACTGATTCATAGACCTCTCTGCTATAACAATCTCTGCCTTTAAGAACTGTTATATAACCATGTTGTTCATTAAAGCGAGTTAGCCCCTTTTTATATGCAGACTATAATCATCTCGAGTTTAATTTCACAGCTCAGCAGTATTGAAGATGGAATTTAGTGGACCAGATGGGCCAATTCACTGAAAGAGATAGTAAGGTTTTTCACTTTTACGTTTTCTTATCATTTTTCCCTGACTGTGATTTGATCTTGTCTGTTGTCTGTGTCTAGTTTGGAGTTCTAACCCCTAAATGCTGGTGCTCACCAACCATGACTCCACAGAGAATTCCACTGCTGAATGGGCTGACTCCAACCATATGTTTCATGCAGAGAAGTCTTATAAGTTAGCATTTTTTAGCAGCTGCAACATTACACGCATTGTAATTTCTCTAGTCAATAATCGTAGTCTTATGTATGATGCCTGTGAACCATAGCCATATGAATAAATTGAACAGCTCTTATTATATTGGGTTGAAAATAGCGTCTGCCTCACTTGCCTGTACACGACTGTTGCTGTAATGCATGAGGAAATATATTCTAGATGATTGGGCTATCACATGTTATATCAGTGTTAAACTGTCATATTTACATCTATGTGGACAAGCAGTAAGTGATGTGTATTTACATCATGGTTATTATTGTTTGCATCAAAAGGAGAAGGTCAGAAAGAGAATACAGCATACAGCCAAAGTATTGTGCTTTTAGAGGATGTTGATTTGACCTTGAAAGGGAAAAAGGAAAAAAACTGACATAATGTTAAACAGAATTGGTCAAAATGCTGTATAACATTATGCTAACATACATGATCTTTCATACAAACAGTGGCTCCGTCTCTTCTGCGTTACTCAAGGGAAAAAAGTAAGGTGAGCCATAAAACATATATATGTATATGTTCTGGACAAAGAGAACTAAGAAAAAAATGATGTTGAATTGAAAAATTGTTGTAAATTTTAATCTTTAAAGATGTGCTGTTACCCATAGAGATGTTATTGTTTTGCCTCGAATTTTCCATAGTATGGAATTATGCATTTCATCAATTCCAGGATTTTTTCTTTTCATTTTTTAAGTACATTGAAAAACATGTATTCTACAGTCTCTGTGTCAGATTTGACCTGTAACTTGACCTGGTGCTATCACTTTGCTTATCTCTAAACGGTTCAGTTTAGCTGTGCATCTGACACAAAGGTTTGTATTCTGTTGATATTATTGAATTTGTTTGTACTGTGATTTTAATGCCTCTCTTATTCTGTAAAGCTCTTTATGTACTTACTGTATGTATGGATTGTGCTATACAAATACATTTGTCTTGCCTTACATGGAGAAAAATAAGGTTAAGGCCATTCAGTGGAAAATTTCAGGCAAAGCAATAACATCTACAAGGAGGCACACCGGTGATGGACCCTCCACCAGAAAAGTTACATAGTGCAAATAAAAAAAAAAAAAAAGATTTTTTGACTCCTAACAAGATTACCACGGGTTGTCTTCTCAGGTTGACAAATTCACTTCCCGTACTGCTAACAACCATATGTACCTCATAAAAGAATATAGACTATTGCATACTTAAATACTTCATAAAGTTGTGACAGTAAATGTACTTGTCTACCAGTACTAGGCTAGCCCAGGCTGACATAGTGCCTGTTCTCTCCTTTGAACACACAGTCACGGCCTCCCCCACCTTCTTTGTCTCATATCATTTCAGCATCTTATTAGAGACTCCCACCTGTGTGAGTTGTCTTCGCCCATCTGTGTGTGTTTGGAAACCTGGCCTATAGCCACAATACAGGCCACCCCCAAAATTAATTACACGGGCAACACTACTGACTCCTAAGTTCCAACGCATACTCACCTAACACACCAAAGTAAAGTCACCCTTGCGTTTGGAGGTTGAGATGAAGCCCTGTGATCATATCTTCTCCAGACAACCTCTCCCTGACCCCAACGCCATTATTCTTTGCAGCACTTTCTCTCCGTGGTACCGAAGCGAGGGACTCCACAAAGGCATTCTGTGAGGGGAGAAACAGAGAAGAGAGTTAGTGGTGAGTGTTGCTATCTATCCCTGTAGACAGAGTGAGCCTGTGTCCTGGACTGGCAGATGGTGGTTCTGGCTGGCACTGGGGTGGCATGGCTACATCCGCAGGAAGGCACCATTTTTCTTCCCACTCGGCCCCCTCCCTCTCTCCTCCCTCTCACTGCCTCCCTGCCTGCCAGCCATAATTCAGTGCAGTTATAATCACATAGTGTTTGTCTTCACCTCTCAGCATGCAATGATATGACTCAGAAGTGTTATGTGATAACGGCGTGCACATGTAGAGAGAAATCAAAAGGAATTGTTTTGTGAATTTGTGTGTGTAAGTAAAATGTTTGAATTATAAGAATGATAATGATGTACTAATGGCAGAATAGTATGGCTTGGTTTTGAAAGTTTCTCTCAGAGGGTTATGTGGACGACTATATCCCTATAGCCACAGCTGCCCTGGGACTGACTGCCTCTAATCACCACCCATAATTCCCTCACACATTGCATTTACACAGCCAAGGTGAGACAACTTCTTTTACAGAGGCGGTGAATATCACTTATAATGCCACTATGAACATTTTTAGCTTTATAACATGTAAACTATGTGCCATGTCTGGTACTTACTGTTGACTGAAAAATGCTGCACCTTTCAAAGAGATTACATTCACGGTGCTCATGCCTGATAATGTCCCCACTGAAAGCTCCGCGTGTGATTTTCAAATGATTCACCAACAAAATGTTCTTGATGTTATTCTTCCTACTTTAAAAGCATTACAGTTAAAACTGAAGGCTGCCGCTAACAGCACACAGTTGGTGTTATAAAGTGCATTTTGCAACACATAAAAGGAGTAAGAAGTAGCTGTGAAGTAACATCTTTTGTTGCCTCTTCTTACTTGTTTCAATGCACCTTGTAGCATCAACAAACATTTTAACACATATTATATAAACAATTAACAACACGTTTAAATGAAGTCAATGTTTTTGTTAATTTTTTTAATGATTCATCTTTGGGGGATTTAAAACACAACACAAGACCAACTCCTGTGGATAGGATCATGTGCATGATTATAAGTACATTACACGGAAAAACATACTCTTTTCTTTGTACTTTATATTTAAGAGAAAAGCATATAGAAGTTGTTAACTCAAATCCAGAGAAAGATATTCTATGAGCATGCATCATGTTTGCATTTTAATTAAGAGATCAGTATTTTCATATTCTTCACTTGGAATGTTTTCTATTTTGGCAGGGAAATGAAAATTTGGAAAGAATATAGTTTAGCTTTACTGCTCTTCTTCATGATATCATTATCAATCTTGAGAATAAGTGACTAATAGAGCATCTCAACTCAAGTGACACAGAAAGCATAACAGTGAACATTAACTGCAGTTACAACAAGCTAGATTCTTCTGCACCCAACAAGTCCTCAGAGGACTCCCCTGGTAGCGGTCCTAGATGAAGCGCCCTCATGTGTTTTCTGAGAGAAGTGCTCGACCCAAACTTGCATTTACAAACGATGCAGGCTCCCCGTCGTTGTGTCGGAGCTGGTGGCTTCTGTAAGTCTTGTATCGTGTGAACACTGCCTCACACTGGTCACAGCTGTATTTATTCTGAATGTGCACAGTCTTTCTATGCTCTCTCATGTTCCCCCTCTGTGAGAAGCCTTTTCCACACACAGGACACAAATGTGGCTTTTCTCCAGAATGGATCAACTTGTGAATGTTTAAAGCTTGACGAGTGTAGAATGTTTTTTCACAGATTATACATGTGAATGGCCGCTCGCCCGTGTGGGTCCTCTTGTGTCTTTTGAGCGCTTCTGACCGAGAGTAACGTTTGTCACACTCATTACATTCAAAAGGCTTCTCTCCTGTGTGCGACCGAAAATGACGACGCAACTCCTTCGCTTCTATGAAAGCCATGTCACAGAGGGCACATTTATGAGCCTTTTCTATATTCTCTTTGTGAGTCCTTTCATGATTTTTGCACCCACTTAACTCAACGAAGCCTTTACCACAGAAAGAGCAGGTGAACGGTCTCTCCCCAGTGTGCACACGCTCATGTCGCACCACTTTATGCATTCTATCAAATGCTTTGCTACAGTATGAACACTGATGAAGCTTCTTTGGTTTCCTAAGGTGTGTTTTCCTGTGCCTTTCTAACCTTGAAGGCCTGTTATACACTTTTGTACAGTCAGGACAAGGGTGTATGTTCGTTATGGAGTGTCTTAGCTCATGTCGTTTCAGTTGGTCTTGATCTTTGAATGATTTTTCACATTGCTGGCATTGGAAAAGTACTTTAGGCTTCCTCTGGTGCACAGGCTCATGTCTAGCCAGCTTTGACGGTCTGTTGAATAGCTTGCCACAAGCAGTGCAAGGATAGCATTTGGTTGATGTTGCTTTGGAGGGCTCTGGCTCTGCATTGATTGAAACCTCAATGGAATGAACTTGCTCTGCATAATCTATTGGACAGAAAATAGTGGAACATAGATTATCCTATGTGACCAGCAGTAAAGATAAAAACAAAGCCATTTATGTACACAGTCAGCTTTTTATTAGCAAAAAGTCAGATATGATCATTTTACAACCCAAAGTTAAAGGGCCCACATTACACTATTTTCTATCTATTTATGTTATAATGTTGTTTCCTCAACACAAATATACCCAGAGTTATGTTTTGTTTCATTCACACATGTTTAACACACAAATTCTGTCTATTTAGACTTTGATCTTTTCTTAAACAGAAGACACTCTGTTCCACCTTGTGATGTCATGTGGTAATAACTGTATTTTTTAAACTCCATTCATCTTCACTAGAATCATTTGGTTAATGTTATATGTTCTATTGTAAAAGAATGTACATTTCTTCCTTGCCCAAAATAAATACATAAATCAAGGTAGCTGTTAACTTGCACCCTTCATGACATCACAAGGTGGAACAGAGTATTTTGAGTTTTGGAGATGTAGACAAACTTATAATAAAGTATGAACGGGGGTGAATGAAACAAAGCACAACTCCAGGTATGTTTTTGGGGGATACTACAACAGTCTAACATGGCTTCAAGTTCACCATTCATTTTTGCGTAATATAGGACCTTTAATACAAATGGTAACAGGCCGATAGTAGTAGTAGTAGTAATTACCTTTTACAGTTAATTAAGAGGGGCGAATAAGACAGAATTCTTTCAGCAGAAGACTTTTGTTTACCTGTGTCTGGGTCCATGGCTGGTTGGCTACTGTCCGAGCTAACGCGCTAGCGACCTGATACACCTCACCACCAACTTTGAATAAAAAAAGAATAATTCAGCCACTGACTAAAATGTTTTCTGCCATTTTAACCAAAACAGTGTAATTAAAACCACTGCAGACCGACCGCTCCGCCGTAGGTCTTCTTTTGCTTCTCATAGGAAATAGTTTTTTATTTTACTGCCCCCTTCCGAGACGGAATGATAGTGGTGCCAATCCGTCCATAAAAGGTTCACACATCGTCATGCAGTTACCACTGGTGTTTTCTGATACAATAATGTTTGACAGTAACATATTTTTCTCATGTTTGTGTACAGATGGCTAATACATTTAAAGGTGTATTGTCTACCTTTTCTGGTGGAGGGTCTGCCAAATGCTTTTCTCCACAGAAATGCTAATGGTTTGTCAGGAATGTTTCACAGTATGGCATTACACTGTTCTATCTTCATGGAGATCAAACCAGACCAAATTACAGGTCAGATGTGTGGGGAGGCAATCCCGCTCACAGACCTAATGTCTGTTTTTCTAGATATTTTTGACCTATAAAACAAAAGCCATCTGTAATTTAATAAATGTAAAGTAAGGTAAAATGTAATCTAGAGCTGTTTAATATCATACTGTGAAACATTCCAAGCAGAGCATATCCACAGAAACAAGCACAGAGCACCAACCAAAATGTTCCATAGCGCACCTTTAAATACCACTGTACTGTACACAGTAAATCATTAGAAAGGTAAGAATTGGCAGAAGAAAAAAGACAGCACTCATGTTACTTTATATCAGGGGTGTCAAACTCAAATTCACAGAGGGCCAAAATTAAAAACTAGGACTAAGTCATGGGCCAAACTAAATATTTATTGAAAAATTTCAACGACATCTGCATGTTTTCTCTTCTTTTGAGATATGTAATGGTAAACCTTTTCTTATTAAAATAAATGTTTAATAACGGTTTTGCTTAAACACTGAATCCAGAAAAAGCATACTATAAAATAATAACAAAATTATGAATAAATAAGGTCTCCACAGCCTATCTGTAGCCAGCGGGCCAACTCTAATACATATTTGATATGATCTCGCAGGCCAAATATAATTATATCCTGGGCCACATTTGGCCCCCAGGCTTGAGTCTGACATGTCTGCTTTAGATCACATACTGTATAATAGGATACATAAAAGTATAAAAACTTTATGCAATTGTAATAATACATTTTTTATGACATATCATCACATGGGTATGTCATAAACATCATCATAGATATACATTTAGAATATTCAGAAATTAGATAATTCAGTGTTGTTTTTTTGTCTAGGCACATACAAGAAAACAAGAACAGTAATATGAACCATACTTTGTTACATATTGTTGAAGTTGAAAATGTTTCACATCACTCTTGTGTCATATATGTAAAAAAAAGTTGAAATGGTTGGCAAACGTTATGTTTCTACTGTCCTCTTCTTGTCCCACACTCATGACAGACTGCTTATATTTTTCTTTGCATGGACAGTTCGCAGGTGTACTTTCATGTTGCCAGCTTGAGTGAATTCTTTGCCACACTCAGGGCACGCATGGGGCTTTTCTCCAGAGTGGGTTAAATTGTGAGCTCTTAACTGCGAAGAGGAGCCAAATCCCCTTTGGCAGATGTTGCATGTGAATGGCCGCTGGCCTGTGTGGGTCATCATGTGTGCTTTGAGTGTTTCTGAGCGCGAGAAACATTTTTCACACTCAATGCATTCATACGGCTTCTCTCCTGTGTGAGTTCGCAAATGGCGACGCAAATCTTTTGCCTCGATAAACGCCTTGTCACAGAGGTCACATTTGTGAGGTTTATCTGGCAGTGCAACGTGATTTCTTTCATGAGTTTTGCACCTGTTTGAGTCAGAGAAGGATTGACCACAGACAGAACAGGTGAACGGTCTCTCTCCAGTATGCACACGCTCATGGCGCTCAAGTTTGTGGAGTTTACCAAATGTTTTGGAGCAGAATGAACACTGATGAGGCTTCTTTGGTTCCTTTAGATGAACTGTCCTGTGGCGTTCCAACTTTGAAGGCCTGTCAAATACTTTTGTACAGTCTGGACAAGGGTGTGCTTTAGTCTTGGTGTGTCTAATCTCGTGGCGCTTGAGCATGTCTTCTGTTTTGAAAGACTTATCACAGTATTGGCATTCGAAGACCGTCTTCTTTGGCTTATTATGTATAACTTCATGCCTGGCTCTTTTTGATGGTTTACTAAATAACTTGCCACACACAGCGCAGGCATGAGACTTCACATCAGATTTCCTTTTGAAGGGTACTTCTTCATCATCTAGTGAAACCTCAATGTAGTGAACTTTGCCTCCAGAATCTACAGAAAAATCAATAATACAATTGATATGACAATACAAAACACTAGACTAGAAACAAAGAGTGCCACTGTTACACAACAGTCAGTATCTAACAGCCTGGAACATATTACAACCTGTGCACTCAAAAGTCTTGAATTCTTTGTGAGGAAAAGTATTTTATCTTGTTTTCTGTGTGAATCTATTTTTTATACAATTCACGTGGGATCAATAAAAAATAGGAACATTCTCTAAATATTTACAACGAGGGAGAGAGGCCTGAATGGTTAACAATAAAAAGAGGGACAGTTGGTCACCGTACCCGGAGCTGATTATTCATACAAGCCTTCTTTACAACATAAATTACAGATATTATGTATATTTTCTAGTTACGTAAAATGTGTTCACGTTCACAATTCTATAGCAGATATTTGTGGCAGACCTTTTAGTTAATAGTACAACAAAAGCAGACTCACCTTCACCATCAGACTCCTGTTTCACATAATGCGTACAAGCTGTGCTCTGGTCCATGGCTGCAGATGCTAATCGTATATTTAGCCTTTAGTGCGAAATCTGAAGCGGACGAAGAGCTCCGGCGGGGCGTGTCCGCTTGTTAAAATGCACAAGAAAAAGCGGTGTTTCTAATGTCAGTTTTGATTATGGAAGCATTTACGATCTATAAATACTATAATTATGTTTCCAGGCGTGTGAGAGACAGCTCTTTGTACAGAAGCAGCACGGGCGCTTCTTCTGAGCGGTAATTCTAAAAAACAAAGACACATTTGCTGCCCCCTTGTGGCTGTTGAGGTTCCCTTCAGCTGTATTTAAATTACTTATCAGGAGTGAATCAAAACACGCAATATACTGTATGAATTACTATGGCTAAGATTGCATACTAAATACAGTATATCCAATATAATTTTAATATGTTCAAATGAACAGCCTGTGTGCAGCTATAGAAAGTATTTATACATATTTATTGAGGAAACTGACCAACGCATTTAAGTATATGTAAAACAAGATTTCCTTTACTGTGATTCTTACAAAAAAAACTTAACATTACATACTTCATAAGACAGATTTATGTACTCTCTAAATCTCCACTCTCAGATAACTTTTTCTTATGTGCATCTGACCTCTTGTGCCTGCTTAAAGCATGGCTCCAAAAGAAACTGACACCACAGGGTAAGCACACATATGGCTTTTCCCCTGTGTGTATCCTCTGATGCATTTTCATTGTCCTGTACTCTTTAAATGTTGATCCGCATTCATTGCAGCTATATTGGCGGGTTTCAGAGTGGACAGTCTGCTCATGAATTCTCATATTGCCTGCCTGAGCAAAACTTTTACCACACACAGAACACACATGTGGCTTCTCTCCTGAGTGTGTGAGCATGTGAATGTTCAGGTCTGTTCGTGAATAAAAAGCCTTTTTACAGACAGTGCATGTGAATGGACGCTCCCCTGTGTGGCTCCTCATGTGCCTTCTGAGTCCTTCTGAGCGAGAAAAACATTTTGTGCACTCGCTACATTCATACGGCCGCTCTCCTGTATGTGATCGAAAATGGCGGCGCAGTACTTTAGCTTCTGTGAAAGCCCTGTCACAGAGGTCACATTTGTGCGTTCTTTCTCGGCTCTCGTATGTGGGTTCATGGGTTTTCTCGTGCGAGTTACAGCTTCTGAGTTGGGCAAAACGTTTTCCACAGACAGAACAGGTGAACGGCTTCTCCCCAGTGTGCACTCGCTCGTGTCGCACAAGGTGGCTGTGTCTGTTGAAAGGTTTGCTGCAAAAGGAACAGCGATGGAGAGCACGTGGTTTCTTTTCACACGTCGATCTAGTCCTGTGCCAAATCAAATCTGAAGAGGGTCCAAACACTTTAATACAGTCTGAACATGGATGCTTGCCCCCTTTATCGTTTGTGCTTTTGTGCTGAATAGACATATCCCCTTCCTCCTCTTCTTTGACAACACAGTACTTATTAGAAGCAGGCCTGGAGGGTTCATGTTCAGTATCTGTTGATTCTTCGCTTGAATCATCTTCTTCAACATCTATGAAAACACACACAACATAATCTGAACAATTTTCTAATAAACACCAATACAAGAAAAATATGCACTTAGAACACTTATTCTTGCTAATATTAAAAGTTGTAGTTGATTTACTCACAGTCATCATCATCGTCAGAGGATTCTTGTTTACATGTTTTATCTGGACCCATTGCTGCAAAGTGTAAAACGAGCTAGTCCAGCTAATGCTAACAGTTTAGCGTTAGCTCCATATCAGGCCTGGACGGCACAGGGTGAGTTTTGGGCACGAAGAGCTCAATTCGTTAAAACCTACTATTAAAAAGTTTTGTCCTTGCAAACTTCGGTCCACGGGCAAAAGTTGTTATATTGGATTGCCTGCTTTAATGGATCTAAAATTCATTCATGCACCAGTGTTCAGCAGAGCCATGGAAGTATCGATGTGCAGGAGATGTTTTCTTCTGTCTTCTGCAGGTTTTACTGCGGTTTGTTACACTGCCCCTTCTGTCCACTAGTACATAGAGCATGCCTTTTAACAAAATATCAAGTCCACATGTGAAGTAAACAACTTAAATATTTTAATATTCAATTAAATAATAACAAAGACAAAATAAAAAATATATATACTGATAAAAAAGTTTGTTTGTTACCAATAAGCGTAAATCCCCACACACTTTTGAAATTTTAGTAAATGCACAAAACATCAGGATTGTAGATGAATTTAAATATTACTCGACTCAAAACTTCATTTAAAAAAACAAAACAAAACTTGGAAACACAACGAAGTTTAGAAATTCTTTTACAACCGAGGCTTCATATACACATTTTAATTCCATGATTGTCTCGCATCTTCGATATTGTATTACCAGCTGGTCTCAAGCATGTAAAACATCTTTAAAGCCGATAGAAACATTGTATAAACAAGCACTAAAAATCCATGAAAAAAAGCCTCATCTGTAACACCACTGCTCAATATTTGTCAAATATAAATTGTTAAATTTTGATAACTTTCTTAAATTTAATCAAATATTAATCTTATTTAAAATAATTCATAATTCAGATGCTCCTTCCCTGACAAAGTTTGTGGTGCTCAGTTCAGAGAAAACCTGCCAACCCACATGGTCCATAGCCAGAGGAGAGTGTAGTGTTCCAAGATGCAGAACCTCATTTGGTCAGTCATCATTCTCCTATAGGGCCATAAGCCACTGGAACACCCTCCCACATGAAATTATATCATGTACAAATTATGAAATGTTTGCACGCCTGGCCAATCAATGGCTTTTAACCAAACAAACCTGTACACATTGATCTTCCCTATGCAGCAATATGAACTGTAAATAAGTAAATAGTGTATGGATGTGGTGACTGAGATTGAATGGGACTAGTTTTACTTACTGATTGACTGGATAAATGATTGCATTTATATACATTATATTTTATTTTATTGGCATGTACGCCATTTATAACATCAACTTGTCCAAGGACTGAAGGTGGAAATTAACAATTTTTCTATAACCTATCACTATAACGTCTATGTGTAGTTCAATGTTTTTATTTGTATTTCCCCTGAAAAATAAACAAATAACCTAAAATAAAGTAAACAAAGTGGATTTATTCAGAAATGCCAAAGCATTTCACATTCTGTATTCTTGAGCTCCTCATAAGGTTCATGTGTTTTCAGGGCATCGCACGCTCTGTTGTGCATTTTTAGACCAATAGTAGATGATTTAGATCAGACATGTCAGACTCAGGCCTGGGGGCCAAATTTGACCTGCGATATAATTATATTTGGCTTATGAGATCATATCAAATATGTATTAGAACTGGCCTGCTGGCTACAATATGGCTACTATAGAGACATTATTTATTTAAAATGTTGTTATTATTTTATATTATGCTTGTCCTGGATTCAGTGTTTAAGCAAAACTATGATCAAACACTTATTTTAATAAGAAAAAGTTTAACATTACATATCTCGAAAGAAGAGAAAACATGCAGATATTGTTGAAAAATTTCAATAAATATTTAGTTTGGCCCATGACTTAGTCCCAGTTTTGAAATTTGGCCCTCTCTGAATTTGAGTTTGACACCCCTGATTTAGATGTTGTACATATTTGCATCTTATGGTTATTTCTGCCACTTTTTATATTTTATTAACATGGATTTTTGTTTGTTTGTTTGTTTGTTGTTGTTTTTTTTGCTTTTTGTTACTAGGCTATATTGTACTCTGTGAGCTACTAATTTAGATCAAAAAGGTTTGTCTAAGCCTAAATACTCCTCTTACCATTAAAATACAATTTAAATGATTATAATTCACTTAGACATTTAAAAGTGCCTGTCTCGTTTTAGTGTACCTGTGAATCTTTGGGTGGTTACTCCATGAAACATGAAACATTCTTTTTTATCACCATTCAATACAATGCTCCTAATTGCTAAAACAAATGTACTTGTGCTATTTGAATCAACAGGATAAAATAACATTTAATTCTTGCAGGATAGGCTGTTCTGAAGTGAACAGTAAAAATTCTGTGAAATCAGGAGGAAGCAGCATGAGGGAACTTCCAACACAGAATGGCTCCGTCTGCACTGGTGCTGACCAAGAGGCGGCTGTTGTTGCAGACTTTGACAGTGGTGATACTGCCTCCATGTGCTATGCCTGTGTGGGTTACAATGCCCTCCATGTAATCCCATACCTTCACCAATTTATCATCACCACCTATAGAAACAACAGTAAGTTAAGATGTCAGTGACATTGGACTGGAACAAAGAGATGACAGTAATGAAAACGGTAATGGTCCTAGCCTGTCACAAAATATTTGCCATCTTGAGTAATGTGAAGACCATTGATGGTGCCCGACTGTGATCCTTCAATTTCTCTAATAGGTGAGCCATCAAACACATTCCAATATGCGACCTAAAGAGAGATGCAAAAAGAACAACTGAAATGTACAAACATTTTAATAAGGTTATTTAATTAACTGAAACTTCCAGTAAAACTAAGGATAATCCTGTACAAAACAATGGTCCATAAAATGAAAGAGGTTAAATGCAAATTGCGGGCAATATTAGACATACCTTTCTATTCCCACTGGTGAGGATCTGGTATTCCTCTGGATGGTAACAAACTGCCTGGAAAAAGGTGTTGGCAATCACAATCTGAAGACTCACAAAACGCCTAAAAAAAACAAAACACACACAATAACATTTTGACTAGCTAAATATCACAGCTAAATATCATAATATAGCAGTATTTTTTTGGTTGTTTTCACAGCACTGAAAAACACACATTGTCAATGTGAATGGGCTTGCCACAAACCTGACTCTTGCCCTGCTTGTTTCTATGGTTATACTTTTCCACAATGTGGCATAAAATGTATATATGTCGATGGAGAATTTTTCAATGTATAGTTTTAACTTTACATTTCCATGGAATCATACAGGTGATGTACCAACTCCAGAAAGTTGCATAGTATTGCTTTAAAAAGAAAAAATATATATGCTCACTCCAGGTCCCAGATAATGCAGGCTCCATCAGAGCTGGCACTCACAAACTCTTTGTCATCACTCTTAATTTTGATACAGGTGACAGAGTCTTTGTGCATTTTCTCGGACCCCAGCATCCGGTGGCTCCTTGGCTGCAGTTCCCAAATCCTCACCTGTACCAACCAAATACAAAATGACACTAATTTAATAGGCTGACTTTATGTGACATCAAAGCATTTTAAATGGTCTCTAATTCGAGCAGTAGAGGTCAGGTCTATGAGAGGAATTGGCCTTTTAACTGTCAAAATGCAAGCCCTTTGACTTGGTTTATAGTTAATAATTGGACTCATTCCCTAACAAATAATGACAAGGTTTGTGGATTTTCAGTTTGAGAGGCCCCTGCCCTACAACCGAATTTATTATTTTCATAGTTCTAGAGCAGGGGTGCCAAACTCAAATTCACAGAGGACCAAGTTTAAACACTGGGACTAAGTTGTGGGCCAAACTAAATATTTATTGAAAAAATTCAACAACATCTGCATGTTTTCTCTTCTTTTTGAGATATGTAATGTTAAACTTTTTCTTATTAAAATAAATGTTTACTATAGTTTTTCTTAAACATTGAGTCCAGTACAAGCACAATATAAAATAATAACAAAATTTTAAATAAATAATGTCTCTGTAGCCTATCTGTAGCGGGCGGGCCAGCTCTAATACATATTTGATATGATCTCACAGGCCAAATATAATTATATCGCAGGCCAAATTTGGCCCCAGGGCCTGAGTCTGACATGTCTGTTCTAGAGGTTTGTGAACGCATGCATTCATCATGTAAATGGAAAGCTCTACCCACCTGTCCTTCTCCTCCTCCACTTACTATCCTCTTGCATTCTCTGGTGCCTGCAATGGCTGTAACTCCCAGTTTGTGAGCGTTGTAAATAGTCATCATGAGTTTGCCACTGGCTGCAGCAAAAACTCTAATTTTGCCATCATTCCATGCTAAAGATATATTAATCTCACAGTGAATATATATAAGGGATAAAAGGGATCATACAAACAGATAACAAATAAAATGGTCTGCCTCATACCACTAATGATGCTATGTCCGTCAATCATGAAATCAACGGAATTGCAAGTCATGTTGGGAACAGTGATGCGCAACAGTTCTTTGGGTTTGTTTATGTGCCACAGACGGATATCTTCTTGAGAACATGTTGCAAACAGCTCTGAGGTACCACTGACAAAAGTAAAATAGAGTTTAATATGTGGAACACTACAGTTTACAGGATACTCCGGACATGTAGCCCACTGACTTTTGTACTTACTATGGTATAGCCACATCTTTCACAGCACTGTTGTGGCTGGTTGAAATGAGCTCTGCCTTAAAATCCTCATATGAGAAACGATAAATCTGTGCAGATTCTGTCCCAACAAAGAACTGCTGATCTTCCCCTCTTAAAGCAATAGAGGTGACTCCTTTCTCCAGCTCCACCTGTCTAGTGTAAGTAAGAAAGTAGAAAATCCACAGTCTAGTCATCATGCATTCATTTTAAAGATTTACTTCAAAATCTTGAAGTTAGTGCTGGAACAAAGAGTGAAACTTCCTGATCCAGAACCAACAAGTAGATGACCAGAGTTCCAAAGCCTTAGTGCAGTTACACCCTGTGAAGAAATGAACTAAAGTTACAAAAAGAAGAGTTTTTTAGAAAATGTGATGTGACTTACCAAACTGTGTTTAGTTTTGACAGGCCCACAGTCAGAGAGGAGGCCAGTCTTCATGTTCACTCTCATTATGTCTCCACTGGTGGTGCCACACAGCACAAATCTATCATCATCTGCCAGCTGGTTAAAGACATTATTATAAAACATAATTTATAATCACCACACAGCTGCCATGGTTTTCAAATAACATATAATTAAGAATGTACAAAAAGTGATTTTATAAATTTTTTATGTACCTCTATGCATTTAACAATGCGTTTCAGTTTGCCTGTCTGGCATTCTGAGGGTTGAATCTTCCTGTTAGGAACATCAAGCTCCCAAACACGCAATGTTCCACTGCACACACAGAACAAACCAAATTACAAAACATGTAATACCAATTTCTAAAATCTAATTATTATTAAATGTAACTATTATACCTTCCAGCAGACACAAAAATGTTGTCATTATGATTTGAGTACTTCACTGTAAGACAGTGACCAGCACTATGTGCTGAAGCAGGGCTCCCACATATAGCCTGCTTTGTTTCAATGTTCCACACTACAATGCTAAAACATAATAAAATAACAAAACAGACAAATACAACATACTGTAGTGAAATTTGCTTTAAGGTTTCCTTATGGTGGTTGTAAAAATACACTTACCTCCCATCATCCACACCACCAAGAGACACAAGGTATTTGTTGTTAGGTGAAAATGACAGTGCCTCCACTTTAGCCTTGTGGAGTGAAAGCTGAGCATAGATGCTTCTCTGCTCAAAGTCCCAGATAATTACATCAGCCTAGGAACAAACACATTACAAATAATCAAAAGACATGTAACTGTCTTTCTGTTATACTTGCATTGAACAAACCTTAAACCCCATAAAGTTGACCTGTCCAGAAGCAATGTACTGTCCACCTTTGGAAACAGTTAAACAGGATACATTGTTGTTGTGTCCATGCAGAAAGTCCTGTTTCCCATCTTTTATTCTTTTTATGATGATTGTCCATCCCAGAGGATAGATGAGGTGATTTTTGTTTGGATGGACCCTTAAGCCTGAGACTACATGTCCTGTAAACACGTATATGCAACAACATATCTATCCAAGGAAAGTATTTTACACTTTACATCAACCTACAGTACAAAAGCGTTAGCTAAATTAGCTAGGTTGATTAAAAATATATCAAGACTAGCGCACGCTTTTATGAAAATAACCGTCTAAAACATGTTCACTTACCACTGAATCCAATGGCTGATTCCAATTCCAGTGAGTTCTGTGTTTCTTGAGACATTACATAAAAATTAAAACTTTTATTATAAAAAAGAAAATATTTACTATAGCGTTAAATGAACAGCACCGCTCTCTTGTTGAAACACGCGCAAGCTCGTGCAACGACAAACATATGTTACCATAGCAACAGTGCAGCGCAGGCGCTGCCTTCACGTAGCTTACATACGCAGGAAAAACTAAACAAAACAAACTAAAAAATCTTGCAAAATATTTTTTCACATTTTTTTTTCAGGTGTAAATAATATCATATTTATATAAATCGTAATATTTTAATTATTTATCTAAATGTGGAACATATTAAAGAATTCCCAATACCACTCCTAGGACTACTACTACTACTAGACTACTACTAGACCTACTACACAGAAATCACACCACTACTTTCATACGAACAATTTTTTATCAAGTTTAAACAAAGTGATTCCAACCTGCAGGCAAAAAAAAAAAAAAAAAAAAAAAAAAAAAAAAGCTTTGTATTAATGATAATTATAATGCTGTATGCTTTCCCAGATGCACACAGAAGTAACTTTAAAATTTTGTGCATTATTCGCACCATACTTTTTCTTATAAAAACATATAGAACCCATTGGCTTCTGCAACTGTATAGGTCTATACATCATTCAGAGTCCAGATATAGATCCATGATTGCAACAAAACTGTGTAAACAAATTGAGATTAAATAAAATGCATACATTGAGAAAATGTTCATGTGCCTTTCATATCTGCCTCAGATACAAGGGCCTCTGACAACAGTCTTTTATGTGCGTGTGACCTCTTGTGTCTGCTTAAGCCGTGGCTCCAGGAAAAGCTCACTCCACATGTGAGGCATGAGTATGGCTTTATCCCTGTGTGAATCTGCTGATGCTTTTGCAATGACTTGTACTGTGAAAATGTGGCTCCACATTCATTACAGATATATTGGCATTCTTTCTTGGAGTGGACAGTTTGCTCATGTACCCTCATATTGCCAACTTGGGCAAACCCTTTACCACAAATGGGACACTTATGAGGCTTCTCTCCTGAGTGGGTCAACATGTGATTGTTTAGTTCATGTCGTGAATAAAATCCCTTTTCACAAACAGAACATATGAATGGCCGCTCGCCCGAGTGGCTCCTCATGTGTCTCTTAAGTCCCTCTGAGCGGGAAAAGCTGCTTTCACATAGGACACAATGATAAGGTCTTTCCCCTGTGTGGGAACGAAAATGGCGATTTAATCTGGAAGCTTGAATAAAACCCATCCCACAAATTGAACATTCAAAAGGTTTTTCTGGGTTATCGTCATGTATTTTTTCATGTGATTTACAGCGACTCAGGTCAGTGAAGCCTTTGCCACAGAAAGAGCAAGTGAACGGTCTCTCCCCTGTGTGCACCCGTTCGTGTCGAACAAGTTTGTTATTTTTAGTAAATTGTTTCTGGCAGAATGAACACTGAAATGACTTTGGTTTTTTGGTGTGAGTTTTACTGTGCCTTTCTAACCTTGAGGGGCGGTTGAAGATTTTGCCACAGTCAGGACAAGGATGCTTATTTGGTCTATGTTGGCTGTTTTGGTGTCTAATCAGTGCTTCTTCTTGAGTAAAACACTTATCGCATTGCTCACACTTAAGAACAGTTTTAGGCTTTTTCATATGAACAGGTTTATGTCTCAGTAGCCTTGATGGTCTGCTGAAAATCTTGCCACAGTCCGAACAAGGATGACCAGTGTTTGAAGCATGTTCCATGGGTAGTTCATCATCTTCAGATTTTACTTCAGTCTTGATGGGGTCAGACACTTCACTTGAAGCTATGGCAGATTGCACATAAAGATGAAATATATACAAACTTATTTACAAAAAGACAAACACAATTAAAATACAAAGCACTTACCATCCTCAGTTGGGACAGATGGTGTTTCAGGACCCATGACTATCATAAACAAAAAGGTCAGAATTATGTTAATGAATCATTGTTTATTACCTTGATTATGAATCTTGTTCTTTATATAAATGCAACAAAATGTCTTCAAACATTAAATACCATTGTATTACGATACATTGTGCATTCAGATTTGTGATAGGTTGTGGTCAGCTTATCCATCACTGTGAACTGTGTGCTGGGGCTGACTGGCCCTCTCTGTTCAGGGGTATACTCATGGTATGTCCTTGCCTGACAATGCCATCCTAATCGCTTAATAGCGTTTCCTGTATATGTAATATACAAGGAACTGGCACTGTCAGGCAAGGGATGTCCTTGATTTATCTAAGATTATGTGCGCCTGTCCTCCTCCCTGTTTATACTCCCTTTTGCAGACAGCAGGCAGCTGAAACCTGGTATGTCCTGTGTTCACATGACATTTATTAATTGTTAGTTCCTTGAGTGCTGTCTGGTTTGGGGAAGCAGCTTTATACTGCTCCTACTGCTTGGGACACTCTACAAATTGAACTGAAACTTTGCAAGCTGGTTCCTCAAGGGTTTTTTACTCAATTAAAAAAAAAAAAAAAAAAAAAAAAAAAGATTGTGAATCCTATGAGCAGCATCATTTGTCAAAGTTTTTTTTCTAGTGTAAATGACCAAATTTTTATTTAGCCTGTGGCATGGCTGCATACCACTTGGCCCAGGTCACCCTTGGAAAAAGGATGTCACTAAATGGGGCTTTAACCTAGCTAAATAAAGATTAATAAATAAAAAGAATAACAAACTCACAGAAACTAATTATGATGCTGACATTTGGCTGTGATGACTGATCGAATCCGCGTCATATGACTCTATTTATTTAGTCCCGTTTGTCCAAGACTAATAATAATTTGCATTGGTTAGGGCTCAACTGTGCAACAATGCCCAGATCAGGCAAAAGCAACATGAGAATACAGTGTCATTACGTGATGGTGTCTTTCTGGTGCCGAGCATCGCGGATCTATTACAGATGCCCATATAGTAAGCTACAGAAAAATGACAGTGCCCCAGTTTTGAGTAATGAAAATATGGCCACCCTTGCTCAATAAAAGTGGGTCATACTAAAATAATGGGGGATTAATTTGGGTCACTCATACAGTTACAAAGACAACAAACCGTGACACAAAATAACATAAGATCCAACAGTCAAAATGCAATATAGCGTTTATGTTGATTCTACAGTAAATTATGTGCATATTTGCTTCAGACAGACATGTAAAAATAGCTCAATTGCTAAAGATCAAGGGTTTACTTACCAACGCACTATCTGCCTAAACTGTTCTAATCCACGCCAGTTTAGATTCGAAGCGGGGTGCGCGTAAAATCGCCAAATAGGTCCTAGTGCGGTGTTGTGGTTGCGCCCTAACCTGGCACGGATTGGACGACGTTGCTCCTTCAGTGGCCTGAATCTCCAGACTTCTTCTGGTTCGCATTTGTACGAACTCTGCTCTGTCGCCACCCTGTGTCTGTGTAAATGTGTGAAAATACCATCTATGTAATACGCTGGTTTCACCAAT